CGAATTAGTGATCTGTCTAACTTTTGGGGTGTATAGTGTATGTGCTTGAATTGGTGATAGGTATGCATGTGCCTAGGCTGGTGTGGATGTGTATGTGCCAGAGCTGGTAGTATGTGTGTGTATGCACCTAATTGATTTGTGTGTTTGTATATGTGCAATTCTGTCACACCCTCCTGTCTAACAGCGCACTATTGAGATCCTGAGAGTTGGCCTGACCCCACAGGGCAACATTGCCTCATGCCTGCAAGTGCTGCAGGGCACAGCAGCCAGAGAGGAGTAGGAGGGATGAAGTGATGAATACCTGCCTGCATTCAGTCCTTGACCACCACCATCAGCCTGAGCCTAGGGAGGCACCAATTACGTCTCTGCACACGTGGATAGAACTGAAAGTTGTCAGAAATCCTCACACAAATCAGTCTCTGCCCTGCTAGGGCAAGGAATGTGTTCTCTCTGAGTTAGTCAGAATTGCCGGTAGATGCTTCCCTTCCCCCTCCCCACAGCCTACAGCTTACTCTCCCCTGCATAAAGACCTGTAACTTCTGCAGATGGATCTGTGGCTCAAAGATTGGAGTCTTAAGGCACCTCAAAACCCATCAATGAGTTATGGTAGAGATCATCTTCAAACTGAGAGATTGATGAAGAAAAGATGCTCCTACATCTCCCTTCCCTGGTCATCCCACAAGTCCCACAAAAAGCATAGGCTTAAGAACACCAAGCCCAGTGCTTGTTGCTCACTCATACAAGACCATGTTCAGACCTGATGGTCCAAACCAACAGGCTCCCCATTCTCCTGCCCTGTCTTTTTATACCTGCTGTTTCAAGAGGGAATATGCAGTTTATTCCAGTCCTCAACGGAATAAGTGAGATGCAAATCTTGAAACTTCTGGGACTTTTCCCTGGTGGCTGATACTTTTCTGAAGCCCAGAAAGCAGCCTGCCTCCAAGTTATGGGTACCACCCTGCCTGCTCTGGAGTGCAAGGCCAAAGTACACTCTGTTGACTAGATCCTGTAGCCCAGGGTTCAACAATGTTTTGGGGCAGTGTCAAAAAACACACGCAACTTCAACCTGCACAATGTTGGCATACCAGGGGCACAAGGTGGGGGAGTCACAAGGGGCCTGAACCTTGTTGTGGCAGCACAGCCCCTGCCCCTTCCCCTTTGCCACTGTCTGCCCCGAGGCACACGTGCCAAGCAAAATGCCTTCACATGCCAGAGGTTGGCTACCCCTGTTGTAGCCTAGGTAAGGCCCTAGCACAACAATCAGAACTGTAAGTGCACACACTGCCAAGCATGCAGTAGTTTCCCCACCAGGGTGCTACATCACCCAATGGAGCCATTCTTGATGAAGTTTACATGGATGGCTCCTCTCAGGAATGTCAGTGTGGTGCTACCCAAGCATTGCATCTTCCTGGTTACCTCTTGCTCCCTTACATGTCTGATTGAAGCCTCATTATACAACCTAGACCTGGGCTCCCCTCTCTTCGTCCTCTGCCTGTTCTCTTTGGTTGAATGCACCTTTGTCTATAGCACTACTGCCCCTCTCCAGAATTCTCCCTCATCTACCAGCTCAGCTCTGCTTTTGCCCTCCTTTTACATGCTTTTCTGCCTGCACTCCCATATGACCTCACCAATGTTTCCTTTTCCTACAGCACACTTCAGTTTCCCCTTCTTCCATCATACAGGGCTACAAATCCACTGTATGGAGCCCTCCTCACATCTGGGTAGTGTCCTGCTACTGCCTTTCTTTTCTGGACCAAATCTTCAGTGTCACCATTGTAACAGCTCAAGCCTTCAAACCTCACTGCCCAATTGCTTCCCTTGCAGAGCCCTGCTCTCTCACAGCTGTGGACTCCCTTCTCTTGAGCCTCTCAGTGCCCTTTATAAGTACTTCCTGTCAACAAACTTGTCTACCTCTATTTTTGTTCTTATGCTTCGTTTTCTACACTGTCCCAACAGCTCCTGAGTCTAAGAAAGTGTTGGATTCACTCTTCCTTTGGTATAATAAAGTCTCAGGCACTGTCACTTTCTGAAGAATAAATAAGAGCTATGAGTCCCTCTCTGTAAGACAGACATGTCCATTGTGCTGAATCCACTTCATCCTCCTCATATCCTGCATGGGTTAGCTAGAAGAATATTAAAGCATGAAGCTCAGGCCTTAGTCTGTAAGAGTTACTCTATGAGTGGAGCTGTGAGTCACTTAAGGCTCAGACACAAGTGCAACTCCCTGCTGTAACTCATGGCACCTCACAGGAACTGCCATGAGTTACAGCAATCCCCTGGACCCAAAGTCTGGAGCCCCAGTTTGGAGGGCAGGGGGGAAATGGAGTGGGAGGGAGCTTGTTCTGGGGCCTGCCTAGCCAGTGGTGGAGGGTGGACCAGGCAGATTGGAGCCCTGCTCCTGGCACACACTGACATGAGTTAATGAAGGCACTCTGCTTTGGAGTGCCTTCATCTGAACCTTCACGTAATGAGGGCTCAGATTGTTATGGGACTGGCCCCTTTTAAAGTGCTCTGCAGCCATGTGCTTCTGTAACAGCACAGCTTTGAAGTGCTTTCAGTGGCAGATCACAAGACAAAACATCCCTTGTGGCAGTGTTCTTAGTTCTCCCGACTAGATTTGGGCTTGGTTTGTCTCTGTGATGACCCTGCATGCCTAGCATGTGGTTTATTTCCACACCCCCAAAATGCATTACCTTCATGTCTTCTAAGCTGAAGCTCATTCTTATTTTTGGCCTATATCACCACCACATGTTAAACCCCTCGTATGACTTTGTTCTTCCTTCTCATGCCCACCCCTAACACTTCATCCAAAATTCCAGACATCTCTCCCAAAAGGGCCCAATTTTAAACTCAAGCAAAACAACACATCACTACCAGTTGAAAGTTTTATTCATATAAAATTCATTAAGAACATAAAAGAATTGCATCTTAAAAAATATCTGCAATTATTTACAGCAGTATTGCACAAGTAAAGTGGCAATTACCCTGTCAAAAATTCATCAGTGCAACACAAGTAAGCCAGGGAAATTGCAATAAAAATGCTACATATGCTGGGTCTTATGAAACAAGTTAGTGATTAATCAGTACAAGGTCAGTGCTATGGTTATATTTGTACCTGATGTTAAGGCAATTTGATACAATAACTGGCAGTCTTGAAAGCAGGGTGCAAAATTTATTCTTCCCTAAAAATAAAAGTAGTTCTATTAATAACTTGCAGATGCTTTTCATTTATGAGGTAATAGCTATATCCTGCACTCTGTAAACTGAATCTGAAGGACAAGATGTTTAATAGCCCATAATTATTGAGTCGAAACACTATAAAGATAGTGTACTGAAATTTACTGCCTGAATCTTACTTTTATTATCTGGATGGGGAATAAGGTGGACTGTGTTCATTGTGGGCACACAGACTTGGGTGAGAGTTAAAGACAATGGGGATAAGAGGGTAGAGATCTGCATGTTGCAGAAAGCCTGAAAAAGTTACTAGCTTCACAACACTCTCTCTGTTCAATAAACTGTTTGAATAAACTGCCCTCAGCCTCTAGGATTTAATCATGCCCTGCTTAGAGGGATAAGATTATTTTTGATGAATTGACACTTAGGAACTACAGAGCAACATGCTAACTTGCCACTCCACAGTGTATTTTATTTGAAGTTTGTCTTTGTATCATTGAGCTGAATGGCTGAGCCCAAAAAAGGTGACCAAGTTGT